TTTTTTTTTAAAGAAAAAAAAATTGCTCCGAGCACCAAAATGGAGGGAGCGATAAAGAAGTCAACACCACCGCCATATGGCCACTAGCTAGGTCTAGTGGATATTATATAGCCACGAGGTCAGGTTACCATATAAATAAATATAATATATATATATATTTATATTTGTTTATTTTACAATGTCATAGTATATAACTAGTGCTCGTGTAATGTACAAGTAAACAAGGGAGTGAGAATCAAGGGAGAGCAAGGGCTCGTAATCGGCAAGAGGACTCAAGTCGACGAGACTGAGGAGCTTTTGGAGACGAATGGGCCATCAACATTTGGTGAGTCTTGAAGATGTTAGAAAGATGAAAGGAATTGAACTTCATCAATGGTGTCTAAGGCCCAAGGTCAACACTGATCCAGACCGTCTAGAGCGGGCCAAGTCTACCCCACATTATAATTGACAAGTTCCGAGGACCAAAACCCAAGGCCATGGCCCGTGCCCGTGCCAATGCCCTTGCCCGAGCCGAGCCGAGCCGGCCAGCCGCGCATGTGGTTGAAATCACCATCAACACTTTGTGCATAACTTTGTCCGCTTTGGGCACTCTCATCCTCACGGTTTTGCCTTTGGGAGCTAGCTCACCAAAACGCGTCACACTAGTGAAGGTATCCACAACCACTTATAAGGCATGCTTCGTTCTCTTTCACAACCGATGTGGATATCTGGATCCACCCCCCTTGGGGGCCCGGCGTCCTCGCTGGCACACCAGTCCGGGTACTGGCTCTGATACTATTGTAACATCCCAGTTCACCCGTAGTGTGATATTGTCCGTTTTGGGCACTCTCACCGTCACGGTTTTACCTTTGGGAGCTTGCTCACCCAGACGAGTCACACTAGTGAAGGTATCCACAACCACTTATAAGGCATGCTTCGTTCTCTTTCACAACCGATATGGGATATCTGGATGAGTTGCAACTTATTGTGACCTCTCAAACTCCTTTTATTTTAATAAAGGGATTTATGTTCATCTAAGAGTTTAATGTAGCATAGAACACTTGGACATTCGAATCCCATAACCATCATTTTACGTGTCAATTAATGGCTAACTTTAATAATTTATTTTTCACTGACCAAAAATCTGTTTTCAGAAATAAATATACCACGAGCATCTACTCGAAATATAGAATTTTCTACATAATTAAATTCACCCTTAATTAAATATGTAGCCACAAAAAGTCTAGTCAGAACCGGGTCAAGCCCAATTTTAAATAACTAATTTTCTAACAATCACGAACACGATCCTCAAACAAAATCGATCGAAGAATTCAAATAAATAATCAAAGTCGAGGTACGTGAAACACACTCTCTGTAAAACGAAAATGCCACTGACTAATGCCCATAGTTTTTTGACAAACGTCTACAAAATACAATGAATTTTATCTTTTGTATAGTGACACTTTGAATACACAAGATTTCGGCTAATTTACTTGTGTTTAGAAAGCTCTCAAGAAATAAAGAAATGATAATGAACACAAGATGAACATGCTCTATCTTATGTTTCATCTCAATTTCTTGTCTTTATGTTAAGTTCTCTAGTGTTATATGCATTTCAAATCATATGGATAATTATTGATGTTCATGGACAACTCCAGGGAGTTTACGATATCAAAAGACACTTTATGGGACATATCCGGTCATCCAAAGCTGAGTATGAACCTTTTCAGCATGAGCAGGTTAATCCAAGTCGCGTGCTCATCGCGCCAAACTGGTGGGCAAATCCAGGCGTCGCGCCCGCAACGAGGCCTCGCGCACACCTGCTCGCCGGGAGCCCATATTCACTCGTTTGCATTGAGAATCATGTTCCATTTATTTCTACTCATTCCCAAAAAAACCCTTGTATAGTTATATCATGCATATTGTATGATTACGGCTCATTTGCCTTGTCTAAATATTCATCAATGACACAACGTTTGCGAATCCAACAATCTTTGATTTTACTTGAACTCAATTTTGAATTACATAAACACAAATTACCTCACATTCCAACTACAAAATTAATTTCTCATTCAACCTAATATATTATTGGAATTTTATATTAATTCAGTCATCCACTTACAAAAAGTAGAACCGTAAACTCGATACAAAACTAAATTTTTTTCTCCTACAAAACGTCACCAATATATACTTGCAAAAATACAAGCTTCTTAACCATAAATTCCTACAGAGTCAATAATCACACAAAAGGAAATAATTAGGTGATTATTATCATCCTTCAACTATTGAGAAATGCTAAGATCCTGTTACGGAATTATTCCGTCAAGATTTGTAACCGTTAGAGATAGTTGATCTAACGGTTACAAACCTCGACAGAATGATTCTGTAACAGAACTGTAACATCTCCTTAAACTATTATGATCTCTAATTATGATCAAAGTATACTAATTTGACCATAAATATCTCGACTTTTGCCCAATGATAATACATATAGCAAATATTAGCCACACTCCCATTAATGAGAAAGTCAAATCAAGGCCTAGTCAATTGGGGAAACTGAAAATGAAATAATTTATTGGCTTTAAGCCGACGAATTGGACATCTTAATTATCCATTATTCAATCTTTTTTTTTTTTTTTT